AGAAATCTTTGTAACACTGTAAAAAAAAAAATTTGTTCAGTTAAATATGTATATTTTCGACAATGTTAACCGAGGGATCAGTCTCAAGGTGCAAGATAATAGCGCCCTCTGTGGTTTACAGAGAACTATTGCTCATGTGACGTGAGGACAGACTTCCCAGAATTCCTCGTTCTGTGAACACACAGTTACTGACCTAAAATAACTGTTTACATTTTTTTTTTGTTTAATTCTAAGTAATACTTGCAATATGCAATATCCATTGAATTATAGTTAAATACAGTGGGGTCCTGAAGTATGTGCGAAACTAGTGTAAATGCATCTCAAAAAACTTTTCACTACAAATTACCAGCACAATGATTTAAATGAGGTTGTTGAGTTTTAAAATGTAGGCCTACATACATTTTCTTGAGTGATTCAGTGGAAACGAGACACTTTTTTTTTAACAAAGGAGTTCACGAATTTGCTTATTTGAATAGTGACCTAGATATGGTACAGAATCTTAGACATTACTTATTCATTTTATGTATTAACTTTAATATACTTTAAAAAATAAAGTTTTGGAAATCGGGTCCGTTTTTTTTACTGAGACAAATGGCCTGATTTGCCCGAATTCACCCTCCTGGTTATTAAAACAAATACAATTTGCAACAGTCCTTAATTTTGAGATGTTCAGATGATTAGTGCAGCCCTTGAGCAGATCAATCATTTCGGAGGAAGCATTTACACACAATCATAAAACATAACCCAAAATTCACCAATCTGTTAACATGAGCATGTAAGTCTGGAACTACTTACTGTACATTTATATAAATATATTTTTATGTTTCAAAAATATACAACATTTATAGTGTGTAAAAAGGTTGTTGGTAAGATTGGTCTTGTGCTTTCCAATCCTTCATTTATTTGAACAAAATACAGTAAAATGATAATATTGTGAAATATAATAATTTAAAGGTTTCTAATGCAATATTTTAAAATAGAAACATATTTGAAATAGAAATCTAATGTAACATTATAAATGTCTTTACAGTCACCTTTGATCAATTTGATGCATTTTTAATGAAGTAATTATTGACCCCAAACTTTTGAATGTATAGATTTTCAAAATCTCTATAAGAATATATATTTAAACATTACATTCCTGTATTTAAGCTAAATTTAATACTAAGTGAGCCTTTATAAATGAGTGTTACATTCCACATCCCCACAAAAATCTCCAACAAATTGTTCATCAAATGAAGAGTTTTATTAAAATGAGGCAATCATAAAACAATGAACTGTTTTTTTCCCCCACTATCTTTGGTGAAATAAATATTCAAATGCCTCAAGCATAGTCAAAGTACCAAACATTTCCAATTTAGTGTTTTGATTCATTCCTTTCACTAACATCATCCAAGGCACATCAGACACATAATCATGAGTGACTATTGTTTTCTGCAATATATGAATATAAAAGTAATAGTGTTACAAAGGAGGTCATTTTCATAACTCCTCAACTTTAAACAACACAGAAAGAAACAGACAACCAAATACAAAGGGGGTTTCAAAATATCACCGAAAAGAAAAAGTACTTTAGTTTATCTAACTACAGTATATAAAGACTGCTAATAATTCCCCCATCAAATACAATAAGTACAATTCAAGTTCAGAAAAAAATCAGTATCTTTGCACATTTGTCTTTTTTTATATTGCATACAAATCTTTCAAACTATTTTTCTGAGTAATCTACAAGCTTTGTTCCGATTCGTAAAAAAAAGTGCTGTACTAAAAGTTTGCAAACCACCACCAGCGCTGTTATCCTGTGTTCATGTTACTGCAGACATCTCGACTTGGGCCAAGTCCCCATAATCACATTGTCAAGTGTACTATAACCCTGCCTGCCCTCCTGCTGACCCTTGCGTCCTCTGTGCAGGCCAGGCCTCAGCGTCAGGTTAGTGAGGTCCACTAGTTCCCTCTTGTGAGAAAGCAGTGTCACCATGTGGTCGAGCTTGGAGCGAATGGAGCTGTAGTGGTGCTGACGCTCTTTGGTGATCTTGAGGAAGCATTCCCTCAGGTTGACCTCTTGTGGGGCCAGACAGACAGGTGGGTGACAGTCCACCTCTTGTAGGTTGCAAGCGGATGAAGTATTGGGGTTGATCTGGTTGCTGCTGGACGAGGTTTTCGATTTAAGCTGGCTGTTGTCAGCACATGTTTGCACGCTCACGTCTGCTGTTTGGCAGGTGGTTTGTGTTGAAATGTCGCAGGAAGGTACAGGGGGAGAGATCATCACATCGACTGTCTGAGTCTGAGTAGTAACATTCGTCGCTGGCAAACGAGTAGGGTCATCCGAGGTGAGAGCTTCCTCTCGGAGTTCTTGCTCGATCCAGTCCTCACCTAGAGTGGAAGTATCAGAAACTGGGTTACTCTTTCTGTCTCGATCTTCAATGTCTTTATTCATCTGTTGGATCTCTGGGGTATGAAGTCTGGCTGGAGTGCTCGTCAGACATTCTGGTTGAGGCTTTGTTGTTCGTGCCAAGTAAGAGGGAGGCGTTCCAGGTGGTTTGAGGACAAGATGGTCATATAAACCGCTGCTTCTGGCAC